ACATATTTGGAGTTGATAGATACAATCCAGTTAAAGTAGTTGGCAATTACTATCTTAGTCTATGTAATCCTATATTAAAGATTACTAACATATCAACTTTTAACCGCTAAAGTTACAATTAAGGAGACCACAAACATTTCTGAGATATAAACACACAATGAACGTAATATAGAAATAAAGTACACACTACGAAGATTACTTTCATGATACTAGTATACCGTACTAAGGGCAGTTATTAAATTAAGAAGCATAAAAGTTAATGGAGATGCTAGCTAGTTATCGAAGTAAATAGAATCTTACCCTTTTGAAGCAAAATTGGTAAATTTTCAGTTAATTACTATTTTATTTCGCATTTAAGATTTGTCTGACTTTTACATCTTCCAGCAACTTTGCTAGGTTTATTTTTAGTCTAGTAGATAGAAGTATTTAATTTATAACATGCTTTAGCTCAAAATGATACGCTTACAAAAATACTAGACTTAATGTTTCCTATTAGAAAGCTATTACCAGATGAGAAGTACTAGCAAAAAAATTATGAATTGACGGAATTATGCGTCGAACAAGATGCCAATAGATATACAATGTTATGCTATTATATTAGTTTAGAAGTTTTCAAAATGAAAGAGATATCAATTATTTTCAATAAGCCTAAATTCATGAACTGTAAACCTTTTAGAGCGCATTATACAAGATTTTAACATGAGGATATTTCAATATTTGTACACTAATTAAAATATTTTTCCGATGACTTTTCATCAAGTGATTTAGCAGGAGGATATGTAAGGCATATAGCATGCGGGAAAATAATGAAATTACGAGCGCTTCATAAGCTGTAAGCTTGGCCGGTGTAACAAAAGTATTATAAGTCATTAAATTTGCATATAAGAGTATTATATAGAAATAAGTAAAACTTGGTCTTCCAATTTAAGTTTTAGAAGATTAATTACCATCTTAGAGTATTTCACAGCGATAGTAAAAGATCAATTTTTTATAGATTGCATTACTTCTTTAGAGTTATATTTGTAAATGCATAGATCTAATCACGTTTGATCTTTAAGAAGTATCTAGTCATCAGATAAACATTGAAATAATATGATTAAGATGTAACGATTAAAATATGTTAATAAGTTAATTGGTGATTTCAAGTTGTTTTATTATAATATCTAGCCTACTACAAAGCAGTAAGATTCGCACAATTTGTGATCAAGCCTTCAAGGAACTTAAAGCTCTAACGGAGCTGTATGTATTATGTTAGAATAGCTTATCATTATTAAATTTCATTCGCTTTTAAATCCTTATTGTCCCTTTCACATCATTTATTAATACAACGCTAGATCAAGAATGTTATCATTTTGATTTTAAATTATCTTATTGTGTAATTGATTTTAGACCTTAGTGCAGCATTGCGGTGTGAAACTTTTAAGTATTTCTGTAACTATTTTAATTAATACTACAGATATATTCAATAATATCGTTTAATATTTTAGAAAGTAATCATTGGGATGACGAAATTTATATTCATTCTAAATGATGAATGTTACCCAATAAAACTTCTCAATATCAGCGTTCAATATTATTACATTTTCGTCTTTATCTTCTTAAAGGCTGGAGTACTGTCAATGCTTACTAAATACAGAAGATTAATCTAAAATTTTCAATTTGCATTTAATTATTCGCAACATGTTATTATTAATCAAATATTATCCAGATCACTTAGATTGAAAACTTGAAAAGTTATGAATGAATTGATGCTTTATAGGAACTTACAAAATAATATGATAAAGAAAATAACCAATGCGACCTTCCATGGTTTATACTCCTTACAGAAATTGTAAGAACGGTTCAAATGAATTTTATGATGTTCATAGTCAGAAAACATACGCATATAATGATCGAGTAGCAAGTCCGTTTATACCCGAACACTTAATGACTATAATTTTGTATGATAAAAATACTAATTTCCAAACCAATGTGATTAAAAATTCTTTATCGTCAAGCTATAATCACAAATTTTGCATTCTTTAAAGAGTTACAAACAATGAATATACTTATTGAACTTGTGCCTGCGTTTCTAATATAATAGTGTTTTATCAATATTTTAACTAATTTATTTGTACATCAAATAGAATCCTGACAGATAATTTATTGAGTCATCTTCCAACCAGCACATTTGCAAGCCTACCATCTCTACAACAAGTGTAAGACACCAGATTTATTTCATAATAATTATTCAGACGTGAGATTTAATCGCAATTTATCTAACTGTTTTGGATTTTGCCTTTCGGAATACCAGGATTATAGATAAAAATCACTTTCAAAATATCGATAAGAATATTTGCTTTGGTTCACGAAGTCTAAAATCCATGTAAGCTTTCATTAATCATGGCCCACAATATGACGAAGAGAGATTATAATGGCTAAAAATAGTCACTCTATTTAATTAAATGCGGCAATTGGTTACGAGTATAGAATAAAAACAGTTTTAATTCAAATGGCAAATGCAGTATTCAATGATCTTACACTATAATTTGTAGGTTTATAGCTTATAATTTGCTATTAAATTATTAAATACTGCTGATAATTCTAGTTTGCACGGTATTGCACTTTATACTACTATAGTATTTTAAAGAATAAAGCAACTACAATTAACCAAAGTTACTACATAAATCCTTTATATATAAATGACTCTAAGTTAAGTTAATGACTTCTTAGGAGCTAGGAATAGCCCTAACTTGCAACAAGGATTGAGAGAGTGATTTCTATCGTTTATTACTGTTATTTGGAATACCAGAAAAATGGTTTTCCAAGGCAGATAGGGTTTAACACGGGGAGACCTTCATGACTTACTAGAAAATCACAATCTAATTTATTGTCAGCGAAGTCGCCGTTTACATAGGTTTCGGACCAAAAACGGCTTAGCAAAACAAGTCACCTCATAAATTAGAAATTAACCAAATTAATACCCTTGAGAGATTCTATCTGTACAGATTAGATACACTCTGATCCTGTTAAATTTACTGTAACAGTACTAAAATAATCAATGCTTATTGATAGCTTAACAGATGCAGCACATATAAAGCTGTCCTACTAAGACATTTCCTCTAAACTTAGGAATTGTACTTTGAACCTTAACAACCTTGGAGGCGATAGATATAATCCACTTTAGCTGATTGACAATTACTATTTTAGTCTATGTAATCCTAAATTCAGGATATCAAATTTTAACCACTAAAATTACAATTAAGGAGACCGTAAACATTTCTGAGATATAAACATATATAGAACGTAACATAGAAATAAAGCATACGTCACGAAAGTAATCATGTTCAAAATCATTTCAGTTTTGAGGTTGAAAATTAATAATCTAGCTTATATATACTTAAATCCTATGTCACTAAAATGTTCAGTGCTAGTCTCTGATATTAAATCAAGTAATATTCTATGCAATATATTTTACAGGCTTAATATAGACTAGACCGAGTGTTAATTAATACTTATCGCGGATTAACATTAATCAACATGTTCGATTGACCATCATACGTACGAATGGCGTAATGCCACCATCTTGAATTAATTAATTGCATTACTATACAGCAGTAGTATAATTAATAATAATTAACATGTTATGATCTAACTCTAAGTCATAAATAGTAATTACAATAAAGGTGATCCGATAACAATTGAGGATTGCTGTCTGCACAATTTAGTACACAATATTCTTCGACAATATTTTTAATCACTCGAATTAACTTTTCAATCTTAAATCACTCAGCATAACTATTTTAATGATCGTAAATAATTAATTACTAGTTGTAAACAAGGTGCATCCAGCTCGATAACGCATACAGACTGGAATTAATAAAGAAATTAAATCAATATCTGCTAAGTAATATATCGTGTATAAATCGAAACAAGAATTGATTTACTGCAAGAAAAATAAGAAAATATCTAAGTAAGACCTTAGTGTCGTACACAAATCTTAGGATTTCCATACTAAATCCCTTATTTTTCTACTGTCACTCTTTCTGCTACAGCTATACAGGTGTTTATGTACTTACTGTATATTTATAAAAATTAACGGACGCTGTAAATGATGACCCTTTACTAATATAATTAAAATCGTATCGATATTGTTGACTTCAACCAGTTAAAATCACGATACCAATGCTTTAATCTTAACCTACAGATCTATAAATGAAAATTATATCTCATATTTCGATTTTGAAGCGTTAAGAAATTGTCGTAACACCTTAAATTTGCTGTAAGCTGAAATTTATGAAGTAATTGAATGGCATGTAGTCCTATCATTATTTCTTAGTGAAGACTTTATCTAAAAGGAACATATGTGCTATTATGTGCCTCCATTAATTCTTGATTATGTAACTCTCTTTTGCTAATAGATCACTAAAAAATAATTTGGCTTCTATTCTCAACATAATATCCTTGTCATTGTTATCGGAGTTGAAAACATTGTAATAAAATATCATTTGATAGCTTGAGGTTGAAAAATTTAAGTCTTAGATAACGAACGTAAAATCATCCTAACGCTCAGATTTTAAGCTTGTCTAAACTTTCCTTTAGAAACTTGGAACGAAATCGTATTATAAGAATTTACTGGGACGGTCATTCTAATGTTAAGCCAATATATGGATTAAAATATTTGTAAGATTTACCCTAACTTTCTAAAAATACAAAAATATTATACCAGAAATAGCAGCTCACTTTTTAATAATTACGAAATAGCCTGAATGATTTTAATTTCCGCTACAGTAAAATATATGAATTTCGATATTACTTCTGAAAATTGTGAAATTTCATTGATACATTGTCTATATTTACGTAATTTTCACGGAAAAGCAGATATTTGAAAGATAATCCTTTATCAAAAATATCACATAATGCTCTAAGAGTTTTTCATTACGTTGCTACACTGTAAGTGCCTAGGCTATATTTATTGAAATAATTATAATAGAATTAGGAGGTGATTCGACAATAAAACGATGAGCCTCATTCGTAATTATAATTACCATTTAAGGTCAGCAAGCCTAGCAAATGCATCCCAGCTTGACACGACAGCTTTGAAAATGTTACAAAAATTGTAAGTGATGGCAAAATATGATACATGTGAATTAAGTTGAGGAAAATAAACTTTTTTGGATGTGATGATCATCTAGTATTTTTTTTAACTTTCTTGAAGTCTTATACTAGCAATAATATCTCCTATTTCCTATAGTATGATAATCTCAAAATCCCATGATTACTTCGACAATAAGCAAGCTTGTGTACATGTAGAATAGTGGAGTTAGTTTCGTATGAAATTAATAATTTTGCTTTTGTTTTGCAATCAATCTAGGTCGATCAGTCCAAGCTACATTCCTTCAAATTTTACGTTTGGAAATAATCCATTACTTTCTTCGCTGTAAGTTGCAATCAAGTTCATAAGAGAATATATGCATTGAAATATATTATCAGTGATTGTATCGTTACTTCATGAAATCTGTCAGCAAATTTATAAGTACTCAGTCATATAGTATTGCTTAAGCTAGTGATCAAATTTAATATATATATATATAATATACACTTTTACTCCCTTGTTCCTCTTAGTGTTGTAAAAGATATGGAAAATGTTCCATTTGTCGTTGAAAATAAAAAATTTGAAGGACTAATAAATTTAAAAAATTTGTAAGTTACGACGTAATGCTACTTGAGTTAGCATATTTCTTATGATAAATTTCCATTGTAATTCTACTTGTGGATCAATTCTTACTATTTAATTAAGAATTTCAAATATTAGCAACTAATTAAAACATCGTGAATAGAAGAGTAGTTTAAAGGAGTATTTCTTAAATCGATTAATTTATGGTCTGCTCTATAGAGTTTTAAATAATAATGGAATTTCAGAAATCAGAAACAACAGTTTTCCCCATTTACCATCACTGACATTTTTGTAAGAAAATTCTTATATGACAAGTTTTTTTGAATTCAACTTCTTTATAAACCCTTTTTATTCAATGCAAAAAATACTAGAATAAAAATTGATTCGCTACACGTTATAAAATATGTTTAAAATGATGGTATAATCGATTGAATAATTGGAGAAATGATATCATCGCTTTGCTAATACGAATTATAGACATTTGGAATATAATTCGATTAGCGTAATTGAGAAATATGGATTAGCAACGATAGCCAATTTAGAGTCATTGTAAGTGTCAGTAATAATATGTAAAGGCAGTTCAGTCTTTTGTACAAGCTGTAGCGTATTCATATTAAATAAAATTGTATTACTTATGGTGCAGATGGTAGTAAGTTTAAGTAAAGCTGTCCACTATTTTGATTATAAGCATATGTAATTCTACCGTAATCAGCGAATTTATAAAATTCTCGTGCTTTACAGTATTTTCCTAAAATAAATCATTGACCTGCAGTTGTGAGCACTTTTGTATATAATAATTTAATCACTATTTCTCGCAATCTGGTGCTTCGAAATGCCAAAATACAGTCAAACTTAGATTATAAATGTCATTTCAAGCTTTTCAACATAAACTTTCGATATCGCGTTAGTGTTGTTGCAAACTAAAATGTATGGATTAGTTAAAGGTATCAAGCATTATCTTTCTACAAGATTGCTTCTTTAAATAGCTGTTTGTTACGAGCTAGAAATAGCCGTAACTTGCAATAAATATGTTAGAGAATGTTTTCTAACCTAGAGTATTGAAATCTGGAATACCGATCATGTATTATTCCCAGATAGATAGGATTTAATACAGTAAGACCTCATAACTTTCTAGGATATTAAATCTATTTATGAACGGCAAGGCAGCTACTTATATAGGATTCGGTACCTAAACCTGGTTTAACTACACAAGTCACCTCGTCTATTAGAAATTAACAAAATTAATATTCTAAAGAGCCTCCATCCCTATGAATTAAACACAGCCTAAACCTACTAAATTTACCGTATCAGTATTAAATTAAGCAATTCTTAACAAATACTTATTAGGCTATCCTACTAAGATATTTCATCTAAACTTAAAAATTTCAATTTCAGCCTTAGCATCTTTCGAGACAAAAAATACAATCTAGTTAAACCAGATGGTAGTTACTATTTTAGTCTGTGAAATCCCAAACTAGGAATTTGCTAAAACATCAACCATTAACTACTAAAGTTACAATTAAGGAGACCGTAAACATTTCTGAGATATAAATATAATAGAAAGTAACATAAAAATAGAAATAATATATACGTGATGATAATTACTTTCGTGACTCTGTTTAAAGCTGCATTTGATACATATTACGTAGCTAAATTAGACTGTTCATAAATAAAGATATTTAACTAATGACGTAACTTTATCAGCCATTCATCAATTGATAACATAAAGAATTGATACTTTGATGAAAATAAATAAAAGAAAATAACATACTAGTAGGCCAGTCATAAATTGTTTAATTCTTAAATGCGGTTTGCCTATTGAATGTTTAGATCACTACGGCGGAATAATTTGGTTACCGTTTCGGCATACCAATACAATAAACTTTACAATCTAAGACAACTGTAAATATGCCAATTAAATTATTATTGTCCATAAATTTAATATATGATTTTATAAATGCACACTCGTATATATTTAGTTTAATAAATATGCTATTGTAAATATTTTTTTATTTTCTTTTGTATTTACTAGTGCAAACTCCCGTCGCTTTGCTGACGGTTTACGATAATGTGCTCATTTAACAGATAGTCTTACCATTTGTCGTAGACCTGTCAGAGGTTCAGTAACTTTATACCGTGTACGAGATTACATAACCAGATATAGATTGTAGACGGTACGATTTAAATTGTGATGGGTTAAAGGTTATATATATCTATAGTTGGATTAGTAGTAATCTAAGAGGTGCGTAAAAGCTTGTAGATAAAATCTATTTAAACGATTGAAAAAGTTAATAAAAAGTAGTTCTTAGTTCCTAAGGTTAGAAGTATAACGGAAATCGAAGGCGTACGAATTATTGCGAGATCGTAGATTCGATCACAACGGTATCTTGTCACACGGGAGTTTGTGACAACAACATAAAATTTTATGAGGAAAAAAGATTATTTCACATTTAATTTATATCGTTGTTAGCATAGCTAGGCGTATCCTATATTTTTGATTTGTCTAAGTACATTTTTGTAACAAATTTCGGAATTGACTGCAGGGATTTACAAAAAAATTTGATCGAAAATATTGAGGATTTATCGTTCCAGAATTTAACCAAGTTGAAATTTCTGTAAGATACTTGATCATAATGACGTATAATTATAGCGATGAAAACCATAAGAAACATAAAATGATATCTCATGTATCAATAGCTATAGTTTCCAATATAAGGAAACATTTCGACTAAATTAAAAAATTTTTAATTTGTCTTAGATTTTTAGAACAAAATAGGCTGACAGTAATTTCCGAAAAAGTTTTTTTTGGCTTGAATGGGCTACTGGAATTGTTCGTAAATATAATTATATGGACGAAAGCAAGAATTAATATTTATATATTTTACGAACGCAAGACTCCATTTATTTCTTCATTTACGAATACTCTAGCTTGATATGCATAAGTTAAGAGTAACTTTACTGATTTCACTTCATGCCATTTTTTAATCATAGGCACATCGATGGCAATCGAATTGAACATATAAGCCTAGGAGTTTTTCATAATTTTCGTACATTATATTTCTTGTATGTGAATTCAGTATTAAATTATTATAAGATTTACATAAAATTATAAATCGATATTTAGAGTCCTCCTTTGCAAATACGCTGTTTAAATTTACATCTAATTACATAGACCAAGATATTTTAACACTGACTTCATAGCCTGAAATTTCCTAATTTTGAGATGTTAAATTATTTAAACAGAGATATCGCTGAAAACCCATTGAAAGAATTTGTTCCAAGTAAGAAATTTCCTGAAAAGCCGCCACTACCATACCTAACATCAATGTACGAGATCTATTATTCACTTTCTGATTGCTGAGTAATCGCTATGTGAATCAGTTCTTAGTAAATTTAGGTAGATGCAATCATTTATACTTATATTCTATTCGAGAAAAGTATGTATACCAAATTAAAATAGGTACTTAAAATTTGGTAATCATATAATATCGAGTATTTACTAAGGATGTCTAGTCGGAATACTATACAGTTATAGCAAGATAAGCAAGACCTAGTTAGCTAATAACTTGATAATAAGCAAGCAGCGAAGGTCCGTATGGTACTAATTGAAACCTTAACTTATTTGGTTCATATTAATGCATATTAGGCAGTGGAGTGGTACGAGTTTAAATGCCGATAATTTTAAATATGCTCGAAGTCGCCTGCTAGTAAATATGTTCGTATGCTGTAGCAGTAATCTTATTAATAAGTTTTATTTTTCCAAAGCAGAATTTCTTGGCTTTTATTAACAAATGAAAAAATGTATTTTTGCGATGTTAATATTGAATTATTTGACATTAATTTTGCTTTTATTAATACGCATGTTCCACTTACAAAACTAACGCACGATGGCATAAATCCAAATGGCTGTGGTAATGTAATCCATTCATTTAAAAAAGGTTGTGCTTGAAATGCAAAATCCGAGAAATTAAATCTGAGCATTTCCAGGGATTGTCTTCCGCTTTAAGAATGTGATTAACTTATTTTATTGGATGATAGTGATCACAGATAGCCAACATTGACTTTCGAATTCCAATCGGAACATAAATTAAAAACGAAATTAGAAATTCAATAAGTGCTATTTATTAATAAACAACCCTCCATAGCTACCATTTACTGTAGCAGTTATATGCTATTATATGTTGTGTCTTTGATATCGATCGCTTGATGTGAAATTTTTGAAAATATGCCAGATATTTTAGAAGAAATCTAATTAGGACACTATCAAAGGATACTTTTAAAGAATTACCGTATATTCGATTTTTGTAAGTAGATTATGCATTTTACTACTAGTTAACAATACTGCCAAATCTGCACTCATAGCTAAAATAAAATGTTTTATCTTGCAAACGTATTTTATAAATTAAACATATATAGAATCATGATGAATTTAGAAGTAAGAATTTTGAAAGAATTAATATGATGTTACCGATGGCATATTTTATAAATTTTATGCTTTTACTATTTCACAAAAAATCTGCTATAAAACCTGTAATTACAGTAATTGTAAGGTTACAGTATTATAGCATATATTGGATGACGCGTCGTATCCTTAATTATAACACTTACTTTAAAACAGGAATTTTGGCATTAACGGAATTTCAGAATTTGATTTATCCATTTTAACTCCGCTCCCTAGAGTCTATTATTTGTAAGTAAGCAGTTGTTAAGATGCTATTTTAAGATCGAATTTTTAGTCCACAATATTCAAAACAATTTCAAATGGGAAACAGATTTTATTCCTAGAAATTCCATAAAAAAGCATCGTATTTCAATTAATTTGGTATAATATTAACTACTATTTCAGAAATTTTTGTTATGCGATAACTAACTTTTGAAATGATAAAGAATGAATATTTATTACGAAAAATGCCAGAAGCAGTATATTAATGTATTCTAATTTTACTCATCTTTATGTAGCTAGAAGCCATATCAGCATGCTGCTTATCACAAGTATTTCAATAGCGAAATTTTCTAGCATTTATCGAAATGTTAGCCCATAATTTTGAAATTTTATGATTCTTCATAATTAATAGCACAATTGATTTTTGATCCTAAACTACCGTACAGAATAGTAGCGTATACTTATTTAAAATACTATTGGTCCTAGATAAGTACAGATTGAAAACAATCTACTTGGATAGATGGCATGCGTGTTTTAATCTTATAATATTGCGAGGTTGTAGCGTTATTTCTGTTGGTATATTCGTAATTCGTCAACAGACGAGTTTTTTGGTATGTATTTGTGTCAGTTACTATATTACAGATATTTTTATTTCAAAAGTTAGAGTAATTCGGTTTGAGTTATAGTAAGCGCATGTTCTTTCGTAATCCATTTTAATGCGTGATGCAATAGAATGCAATATTGCCATTAAGCGATAGTACTTTTAAATAATCATAAGCTACTAAAAAAATTTCACAGAATTGTTTCGTAATCTTACATAAGCTTTTTAGCCACTCATTGAACCATGGACATAAGACAAGGACAAAGTTATATTAATGTTATATCCCATATAGTATAGTCCTAGCCCTAGTGTTTGCTAACAATGAATACGGTACTTGATAAACATTATGCTACGCTAATAGGAATATGCTGAGATTGAGGAACTGCTAGTCTACATTGCAAAATATATAAAATAACGAGATTTCGATTTCATATTATCGTTTTCTGAATATTTATATTTTATATACCAAGTTATTGTTTTAATCTTTGGTTGAAGTATCTAATATTTTAAGCAAGCATCTACTATGTTAGCTAAAATGATAGATATCTTTATGTTTATTTATAGATTAATATACAACTAATTTCTAAGCTTATTATGCTGATGTGGATAACTCTAAGATTAACAATTTCATTTGGGTTACTTCACCGTTTGAACATACTTTATATAATCCGAATTAATCCTATAATTTCATTTCATGTTTTAGAGACCTAACATTTAATCTGATTCATTCACTAGAGAATTCGCGTCCAATGGAGGCAATTGGGTTGAGATATTTGTGAGAGCTGAATACTGTAATTAAACTTAGCAAATATAGCATATACCACACTCAAAAATTAATACGATTAGAAATCTGGTATAACACTTTTAAACCAAATGCTACTGCTATAAATTGACGCTAGAGCAAAAAACATGAAAATTATTAAAGCAACCGTACATTATTCAGCGGTAAGTTGAGACGTTACTTTATCATTTTAAAATCAGCTATAAGAGAATTACCCAGCTGATGTTTGGAGCAGTTTTACATACAAGCATATTTTATTCGTTGTTTAATAGACTCAATTTTAAGAGGGCAGACATCGCATCGCGAAAGCCCAACATGATAGCAATTACTCATTTTTTAAAATCAATCTCTAATTAATCGAAAGGTTACAGATTACATAAACCATACTTGAACTCTTCACCTTAAATCTAATAATTCGCGAACAAATTCGATTTAACTTTGAACGCTCAACCTGCTAAGTTAATTACCTTCAAAAGTTAAAATCACTTGCAAACTTTGCATTGATCCTTAAGTTATTGACGATAAAATAGGTTTGTATTGATTCATATTATAAAATAAACGGCGAATTATAGTTAATCAAGATAAACTACTTTTGTCTTTCAAGAATAGTGGAAACTAGTAGTAAGCTATGGGTGATTTAAATATGATAGTTAAATTTGGATTACTTCTTGCCCATTATAATTATCAGCCATACATTAAGCATGATAGATAGTTTTACCTAAATCCCATAAATTAAAGGAAGGAGAAGTAGAAAATACTTTCTCTTCTTGAAAACTGCTGTAATATATTCTCATTAAAATTTACTTCACGTGCATAGTATTGGCACCTTACTCAGCACAAATTAGAACTATCTATTGATAAACGGTAAATCCGTAAATGAATAGTTACGGTAGGCCTCAGCATTTTTGAAGCTGACCCCCCATATTTCACTAAAATAAATCGATGGTTGAATAGAATTAATTCTGAATAGCAATTTATTTCAGGTGTTACTAGAGGGTCGAAGTTGTGCTAACATGAATTAGTACTGACAAACATCGAGTTAATTGCGCACAGTTGAAAGCAACAAAACATCTTTTATCATAACGATTTCACTCCAACCGAATCATAATGATTGAACTCATATTTGCATCATTAAACCTCAGAAAATTGAAGCGGACGTATTTATAAATGAACTGGTATACTTATCTAGCTATAAAATTCAGTTCCAATACGTCATTTTCCATTATCGAGAACATTAAAATAAATGCTTACATTTTGATTAAGTAATAACGTTATCAAATATATTAGCCTTACTTCATATACATTGCCGAATCTGAAATTTATTGACGTAAATTATATCAGTGTTTTACTTTCTTCAACCATACCATCAGTTCTTAATAGTAAGAAAACTGATTCTACAGACTTTGGCTGCAAGGGAGCTTACTAAACAGATATAAAGTTTGGAAGTAATTAGATGGATAATAACCATATTTTGCTTTCCTAATTTTCTTCTTTGACATACAAACTACTAATATAAATTATTCTGTTAACCATCTTAGAATTGTTGTTGTGGCTTCTTTGTTCTAATTGCATTACGGCAACTCATGGGAAAATGAATTATATTCTATTCATTGATCCATATTAGGAAGTTGTTAAAACAGATTTCACTTCTATATTAAACAGTATATAGGCAAAAGGTCGTTTATATCCTGAAATATTTACATTTTTTCTTCTATAGAATAATATTTATACGTAAGACTTAGTAAATCTTCTACTGTATGTTGATTGTTAATGCTTAGGGCTGCCCTACCAATGCTAGTTACTGTTACAAAATTGTCAAAATTACTTTATATTTTGTTCTAAAGATAACTTTTACGCCAACATCTACAATTTTACTTTAAACAGCAAATATTACTGTCAACATTACGACCTAGTCAATCATTCAACTACATTTCTTTTCTTTTTGAATCACCAAAAACTAATTATTTTCTTCATCCTATGATGATGAAATAATTATTTACATTAGATTTATTCCCAGATAAAAATAATACCGTTAATATACTTTGATTTTGAGGTAATGAAAAGTAAGCCGCTATTACGTTGCTTTTTTAACAATAAAGTTATTTTTCTCTTATGTTACTGCTACAATGTTATATACTGTATTAGAGTAGAAATATCTATGTTAGGATAATTCTTGTTAGCCTATCCTTATTTAGTTAACTTCTAATTTGGATATACTGTCTTTTAATATAACACTGACTTTTTATGACAGTGACACTTATACACATACTGAAATTAATAGTTATAATAGGGAATGCAAATCATCTACTTACAGTTCTAATCATTGTGATTGTAATTTACTTATGGTAGACTGTAAATTATCATGGAAATGTTCCGTGATAGGACATATCGTGATCTGACTATTCTGTATTAGTCATTACATGTCTATGTTCGTAAATACTGTTGTCTGCATTAAGGGAGCAGTAGCTAAAATTAATATCTAATTCAGTAAATGATTCTAATGTTAATTGTATTAACTATGACTCATGAACTATTGAGGAATAGTATATAAATGCAGTATATCGTGAAATAAAGAGAATTCTCAAACTTAGTGTTTAACGTAAAATACGAGGCGTCTAAGTCTTTGTGTAGTCTACTAGTAGAGCAAAAGTGTTTGTGATAGTGCAGATATCGTTCT